CCTTGATTATATTTTCATGGTTTTGCTTATCCTTTACTTCTTCGCTAGCACTATAGTCGGTGTTGTATTTATAGGAATTCGATTCTTGTGGATTACACTTTATAGAATTCGTAAAAGTGCCACACCACCTCAAGGATTGCTTTTTGGCTCATTATTGCTAATGCTAAGTTTATTAGCGTTAAACTATACGATAACAATGGTTGTTGCTCCGCAGTACGCGCAGTTTGGAAGCCAGAAATACGTAAGCAAAAAAAAGAAAAATAAATTTTGTAATTTTACAGCTTCGTACTTATGAATTTTTTTTTACACCTTTAGTGTAACTATGTCGTCAATGGTGTTCGGAATTGTACTGATTTTCCGAATTTAATTATTCCTTGTCATGTTGAAGGACCAACAGGCAAATTTTAAGTTTTCTTATTTCCGTATCGTATAATATATAAATTTACTAACATTATTCTTATATAATTATATAATCAGATATTTGCACACCTACTGCGATATCAACGTTCATTCAACGTATAACAGTAAATACTCCATTCTTTGGTGTAGTATTTTACTATTCACAATGGGCATTTTTAACTATACTAGCGCTTGGATTTGTCTATTCAACAATCAGGCCACAAAGTTATATAACTCTTGATGACTATGATGAGGAATCAGAAGAAAGTGAAAGATTATTGAATTCTAGTTAATGAAGTTTTATCAATGCAAAGCAAATGACTATATGTAAAGTTATTTATGTTTGATCAACATATATGTCTTGATTATTCATTAACTATCGTATTTATTTATATCATAAAAATAACATTTCATATATGTATATCTTGATGATGCATGTATTATTTGAAAATTTACTGCGTTCACTTGTTTGTGATTACTGAGAATAAAAAGCATTATATATATATATATTTGTAGCCGTAAATAATATTTGGCTGGTTCTAAACTTGTATTTACTTTTTTGATATTTGTACAAAATATAAGAGTTCAAATGAATATTTTAAATTTAAACTTATTTGTATAATATTTATGTGACCTCTTGGTCGCTTGCTTTTATTTGATTATTATAACATTACAGGAAATGTTACGTACTACGTACAACATTAATATCTATTTGGAGGGTACGTATAACTTGCAACTTTTGGTTTTCTCATTATATATATTTTATTGAATTAACTTTTGGGTTAGGGTCATCTTATACGTATTAGGATTAGGTTAGGTTTTAGGTAGTTATATATAAGTAAAATTGCTTTCCGAACATTTTTAATTAACCCACCTGAGGTAGGTTTAGACTGCCGTTTCGTTTTTGTTTCGCCGGCGATCGTCAAAATTCCATAATTCGATTGGTCAGATATTATTTTGACCAATCAAAATTTAAGATCAGGTTTTAACATGGGGTATTATTTATGACAAAGACGACATGTAATTACTTTGTTGATTTGAGTATAAAATGCATAAAAAATTTATGACATGCAACTGACTTCTGAAATGCCAACTTTTAAAACATTTTTGCAAAAAAAAGTTATTTCATTTGTGTTACTTTTATCACCTATTGAATGGTTGACGTGGTTTATATTTGTCACAACCCTTTCAACCTGTTCTTTTTTTGGCTGGCTGGTCTGCATGGCATATTTCACACTCTGCCACTTTCTGTTACCTTTCTAAATAGTTTCTCACATTTTTTAGGTATTATCATTTGTTATTTATGCTTTTATAATTGTTAATACATTTGGTGTTATTTATTTGTTATTGAAGAGTATTATGATACTGATATTACTGTATTAATAAATAGATTTATATATTATTATTTTTATATAACTAATCAGCTAATGATTTATATTGCAATTTATTCATCAGAAGAAGATTCTAAAAACAACATGGATGAGTTAATAATATGATGTACAATTTTATTTAAAATATTGTAATTTATTAACTTTTTTTTAATTATTTCTAGAATGTTTGTATCAACCAAAGAAGCTTTTAGAACTATTTTCCTGAATATTTTTAAGGACAATATTAAAAAAAATGATAAGCAACTTAATAAGGTTTATTATCTTGATTCTGTAATTATAATTTTACCCAATCAAAATTAAATATATCAAAATTCATTGTTAAATTATCAAATAGTGATAAATGTATTTACAACTGACAATCTTTAATCAAACCACTGAAGTGATAAAAGTTTACTTTGTATATTTCATTTCTTGAGTTTGACTGAACTTTATACTACACGTAGAAATATTTACAGATTATATTCTAATATATTTTTTGATTTTAATATACAACCTTGACAAGAACCAATTGGTAAGATTTAGTTATTTACTAAAATAAGTATAAAAAAAGATGATTTTAGTAAAGATGATTTATTTTTTAAGTTATGATCAGATAAATTAATAATCTAAAAATCGATAAAAAAAACATGTTTATAGATTACAAATAAATACATTAGAAAATTTTTATTACAAAACAACTCTGCTCTAAAAGAAATAAATATATATCATTTGTATTAATAATAATAATTAATTATCTTTGCTATTATATATTTAGTATCATTTTAACTCAATTTAGAAATAAATAATTTCAAAATTAGTTTAATTTTGATTATTATTTTCTTTTTCTTAAAAACAAAATATATTTTTAGTTTTTTTTGACAAAGAGTATTTAAAATTTTTACCAATTTGTTTTTAAACATTTTCGTTAAATAATACTTGTAATATTAGAGGTTTTTTTTTATATTAAAGTAACCTCTTAGTTATTTCTTTTATTCAATTAGAGTTAATTTTATAGTATATATTTATAGCAAACTATATATATATTTGAAGAATACATACTAGCCACACATACAATTTTGATTGCTTATTTAAATAGTTCATTTATTACTAAATTCTATATTAGATATTATATTTATAACCCAACTAGAGATTTATCTATTTAAACCTTTTGCACCTATAGAATTATTTTATAACTAAGCAAGAATATAATTTGTATTCCTTATTTTCAGATATCTGGTTTAAGATTTTAAAGCAGGCTTAACCATTTTAAAAAGTTCTTTATTTTTAAAAATAAACCTGCTAGAGCTTTTCATATTTATAATTTGGCTAACCTAAACTTCAGTAACTTATACCAAGTCTAAGAACAAGTAATTGTGAGCCAAAGTTACTACTATTATTTACTTCTGCTCTTGTAGAGTTTACTCAAACTCTAGTATTCTTCTTCAAGTCTATTTGGTATTTTCTATTTTTAGTATTACTCTAGATAATCTTCTTAAACTATTAATTCAGATAGCTTAAAAAAGACACCAGTCTTCTGATACTTTAGTAAATTATTTTTCTTTGGTCAATACCTCAGCAGCCTAGTTGATAAATATTCTTGCCAAATATCTGGTCTTCATTAACCTTAGGTATAACCTATTCTAGTAGTACTGTCAAAAATCTGTACTATTTCTTTATTCAGAATTTGTTAAGCAGGTATTTTTTTTTACTTCAGCGATCCTACCTTTATTTTATTTATTGAAAGTAGATTATAAAAATGCTCTCAGCTAGCTAGGCTTACATGCAAATCTCTAAACTACTATATTCCTGTACAAATAAAGA